CTTACTTAAAGACTCATGTAATTCCAGATGTCTTTAACCCAAATAAAAGTAATGAGAAATTCTGTGTGGATTTTCTTTTACTTAGAATATTGTTATTCTCCATGAAAGAGTCTCTGAATATTCTGGTATATACATGTCTTTAATTGTAAAAAGCAGAGCAATTTGTTCTTTACATAAAAATATTTTCACAGACTTCTGAGATAATCTTGTAACACAGAAAAACAATGAAAATCATTTTTTCTCAAGTGAATGCTCAGTATATTAAAATCACTCTTTTTAAATAGGGATACATTCCTGTTATTCATTATTCATTGTCATGTTTCCCGAGGGACCTCCTGGCTTGCCTTGAAGGACCCCAGTTTAGTTCCACTGTGTTAGCATTCCAGTCATACTGGTCAATCATTTAAGAATTTGTGGGAATGTAAATACTGTATGGAGCCTCTATTCAAGTCTTTCTGCTCCCATGTGTATGAACAACCAGCTCATCATGCAGTAAATGACAGGCTAACACTTCATTAGGCACAGTCAATTGAGGTTGATAGCTGCTGCCAAGCCCAGAGCCATTATAAAAAGCATTTAGCACATTGCCAATACAAGTTATGTTTAACTTGAACTGTCACCAAGGATTTCACATCAATCAGTGGAGAAATAAAGAGATGCAGTCGGGAGAAAACAACATATTCATGTGTATGTAGCGCCCTGTGCTGGAGAGAACTGGTGAAGACAGTGGGTGCAATTCAAAGTGAGCAGAGCAGCAGCACCCTGCATAACATTTTAGCTTTTAAATGACATTTCTACATTTTATTTCAGGTAATGTTAACCCTTGTGCCCTCCTCGAATTTTCAACCTTTCGACCCCTTCGTGGCAAAAATGTACACGCCCATAATAACTGCTATTAAATCATCATACATACATCATTTCTTTCTACTTTTTTTTTCATGAATCACTTAAACAACTTATAACGTACTCAAAACTACCAAACATTCAATAATTTTCAGGATTTTAACCCTTTAAATGCCTGTTGAATTATTTGAATTATTTCATTATTTATGACAAAAAACACACACATTTTTTTTTTTTCAATATAATAATTAGTAGAGGGATGGAACTTTGGTGTTATTAGAGTCTTGGATGTGTCAAAGATTAACAATAAAATTGATTTGACTGCATTATTATTTTTTACGTAGTGTCAGATACTACCTCTGGACCCCTTCGTGGCAAAAATGTACACGCCCCAAACAATTGCTATTAAATCATCATACATCAATATTTCTTTCTACTTTTTTTTTCATGAATCACATATACAACTTCTAACGTACTCAAAACTACCAAACATTCAATCATTGGCAGGATTTTAACCCTTTAAATGCCTGTTTCATTATTTTAATTATTTCATTTATCTCAAAAATGCCTCATTGACTTCCATTCAAACCACATTTGTTGATCTCACTGCCATTGCAGTATAATCCATGCATTTTGTAATGTCAGCATTTCATTTAGAAGAAATGGGTCCGGCCCACAGTGAGGGGACAGAGAAGAACGGAGGTCGTTCTCCCAGGAGCTGGGGAAAACCAGGGTGTCCTCACAGATTGTGAGAAGAAAGCCCCCCGTGGTGGTGGATGGTGGGCCGGACCCTCAGTGTCCTCTCCACTTTCAGAGGAAGGGTCAGAGGAACTCAAAGAAATGCTGGACTCCAGAAAGCATTCAGTGTCAGACCCCAGCTCGAACCTTGTGTCTTCTTCAGATGAGTCCTGCAGCTCGCTGGCAGAAGAAGGCTGCAAGATTATTTCTGAAGTCTCCTCTGCACTGAAATGCTTCTTCATTTGAGTTCCTTCTCTTTGCTCCAGGTCTTTCTCCTTCTCGGCTCACTAATGAAATAAGCCCTTGGTCAAACTGCATGTTTATCTTTGGCAGCCAGGTGCATAAACACACTAACAGTTGTTTTTTGTTTTTGAGTAATCAAGCATCTCTTCAAAGACACATCAAACACATCCCTCAAAAGATGGCCTTTTTTTACCCATGAAATGATCAACCCGGTATCACGGCAAGACGTGAACATGTGACGATCTACCATGCTGGGAGACGTGAATATGTCACGGTTTCGTCCCTTCAAACGTGACAGTTACACGGTATTGTTAACATGGCCCAACCAGTGGAGAAATACCCGGAAGTGCCTAGCAAATGGTCTACCGCGCCTATTGGTCGGTTTTTATTGTCAAAATTAGATGTTTTTAATTTATTTTTTAATCGTCACACTCGATTTTGCCGATTTTCTTGTTGCCCTAGCTGGTCGACACCTCTTTTAGCAGAAACAAAGGCTACATTAATGTATTAAATCGATGTTAATCCATGTGTGTGGAGGTGAGGATGTGGAATTAACGGACGTGACGTTGTGCTCCAACCTTAATTATATTTTAAAACATTTTAGACGTCCTCACGAAATACTTTAATGTAAATGAAAATGTAAATGTGAAGGAATGTGTGTAATGTGGTGATTGACATGATTCACCCACGGATCTATGGGTTGGGGGTATTGTTCCGCACGGACATTTTAGTTAACCGGACTCCTGTTGATGTGAAATCCGAAAACATTTAAAAAAAAAAAAAAAATACTTTATTCCGAGTTTGCTTGCTTTTCTCTTTGGAGGTCATCACATAACGGCATTGTAATACACGGTTTGGCTGTATTAAATATTACATATCTGCCGTAGTTCTGTATTTATCGAGCCCTGATGAGAAGACTTCTGGACAAACAGGAAGCACTGCCGCCAAAACTGAAAACGTGATCATAAATATATCAGCAATTAAACAACATCTTACATTTCTTTTCACACAATACGTCTCCTTGCAGTATCAATACTAATTCGGCTGACTTTTATATTTGATCCAATTGGTAGATAGGCTGTATTTACACCATAACGGTGCACAGCTGATAGAAAGGCACATCTAGTGGTTAAAGCACGTTATTGAATTTTATTTTATTATTTTTCACAAAAATGAAACCATCAATAGCAGAAACAGAATTAACTGTCATTAGTAAACCACCCAAAAAAAAAGATCATAAATGGTTTTGTTTTATATATATTTTAAGGATAATAATAGCAATGTAACACTGTCTATGACACTTAGCCTACTGTATAACACTGATTTGAAAAACATACAGAAAAAACGAATTCACTGCCCTTAATAAAGTATTTAAATATGCATTTCAGGTGTGCTGTTTTGTTTAGATCATTGACATCTGGAGCTCTTTTAATGTCCTTTTTGATTATTGTTACACCAGGTCTTGTCAAAACCTTTATTCCATATTCAATATCCATTACTAAACAAAACAGCAATTCTACTCCACTACAATTCAGAGGTTAACCTGGTATTTTTACTCCACTACATTTATTTTAGTTACTTTGCAGATTCTGATTAATGATGTGAAATATAAACAACCCTTAAATCAGGCTTTAGTTACACCTGAGTAAAATTCAGGGAAAGGTGATTGTCAAGTGCCAACAATCAGGAAAGATATTTGATAGTTGCTGCTTGAGAAGACTAAACATTTATCTGCAGATCCCTATAAAGTATATTCATTACTCGTTATTCTCTACTAATAGTTAATTAAAGACTGTATATAATGGCTATTTTGCATATCCCTTTCAAGATTTCAAGATTTTCTAAGGTTCATTGACATATCATATACACACAACTAATTCAATAACGTGCTTTAACCACTAGGCGGTGCACACAAGGTACACACAGCCATAATAACTTTGTATTATTAGTGGAGGACACTTGTGTATGTATAGCATCTGAAGATGTGTAGTTTTATTCATGTTTTCACATAATTGTACAGGATATTGCTATATTATTTCACATGTTTTACTTATAATATCTGATTTGTAAAACATCACAGACAGAAAGGTATATCCGTCATTTAACAGTAAGCTATTGAAATTCTGAATCCATAGATGTGTCTCCCATCACCCAAATCCCCTGGCTATTCTCTCAAATCAGTATTTACATTCTTATATTCAAAGAAAATCAGTAATATCTTTAAAAACGACAAGTCCTTTTATATCAGCTGTGCACCGTTATGCTGTATAACGTATTTTTTTTCGGATTTCACATCAACAGTAAGTCCGTTTAACTAAAATGTCCGTGCGGAACAATACCCCCAACCCATAGATCCGTGTGTGAATAATGTCAATCACCACATTACACACACCCCTTCACATTTACATTTTAATTTACATTAAAGTATTTCGTGAGGCCTTCTAAAATGTTTTTAAATATAATTAGGGTTGTAGCTAAGAGTTTGTAAATTGCGTTGCCTGGCAACGCAATCGCACAACGTCACGTCCGTTAATTCCACATCCTCACCTCCACACACATGGATTAACATCGATTTAATACATTAATGTAGCCTTTGTTTCTGCTAAAAGAGGTGTCGACCAGCTAGGGCAACAAGAAAATCGGCGAAATCGAGTGTGACGATTAAAAAATAAATGAAAAACATCTAATTTTGACAATAAAAACCGACCAATAGGCGCGGTAGACCATTTGCTTGGCACTTCCGGGTATTTCTCCACTGGTTGGGCCATGTTAACAATACCGTGTAACTGTCACGTTTGAAGGGACGAAACCGTGACATATTCACGTCTCCCAGCATGGTAGATCGTCACATGTTCACGTCTTGCCGTGATACCGGGTTGGAAATGATCCGTGCATGCTTACAGATTCTCACACACACACACGGTGAGGGAGGAGAGGTGTGTGCTGGTTGTGCACAGGCCTAAAATATTGTTGTTCTATCACCTGAGAGAGCACCAGGTCACATGCTGCAGGACCTGCTGGTCTGCTGCTGGAAATGACACACGCACACACACACACACACACACACACACACACACACACACACACACACGCACACACACACACACACACACACACACACACGCACACACACACACACACACACACAAAAAGGAAAAATACATTCCCAAGACTTCATTAGACATGGAAGCAATGTTAAGGATTTTATTCCAGTCTATAACATAGATAACATACAAAATAGCAATTTTATAGTGGCATAAAGTATTTACAACTGTTAAAATAAAGCGGCAATACAAAAATCATTAAAAAAAAGTGCTTTTCAGTGGATTTTGTTTTAAATTATGATACTTTTACAGATTTGAGTATCTGCCATTTGAAGTGCAATATCTTAGTTATCTTTTTTCCCCATCGCCTCTGAGAGGCACTACTACTGTTTTTTTGGCACATCCCTCCTGGGTAACAGATGCTCTTTAGTAGATAGGCGCGGTTCCATTTGCAGAGCTGAAAAAAAATAAGCAGAAAATTGTTTAGTTTGAGCTACATTCATAGTGGTGCAGAAAATGAAAAGAACACGACATTCAGGCTTGATTTTTCTTCATATGCCCCAATTTAAGAACAATATTTTTAACATTTAAATACGTTTTAAGAGGTATTTTGGTTGGCAATTGCTCTTATAACAGTTAACACACAGGGAGACAGGACATGTACCTTTGTCAGGCTGTCAATCTAAAGATTTTGGAACTGTAATAACTCCGGCTTCATATGAGCTACTGTATGGTGTCATAAGGAATTTATGTCAGAATTGTTGGATTATGTCATTTTTATGTTAAGATTTTAGTAGTTCACCAAAGGGTGTTTTATTAGGTATTAACTTAGTATTCTGAAATGTTAGTGTTAGTCGTTGCAACTTTGAGAGAACAATGATTTATTTGTCAAATAAGCTTTAACCTTGGCTGTTAAGCATGCATGTGTTTATATGAATTGGTCATGTTTAAGGAATGTTAATCTGGCTGTAATCAGGTATTCGCTTTATCTTGATTTTAATTGAATTCATAAAATGTTACAAATCTTTCAGTGCCTTCATCTCTGTATGTTTTTGTTTGTCAAATCAGGCTACATGCATTCCTAACAACTTTGTCACAGAGTCACAAACTGTTCTTTTTATTGAATTTGATTATTAAAGACATCCTGATTCATAAATCCGGCCTGAAGGGAATCTACTTCCTGATGCTGTGTCTATGTCACGGCCGGTTTTATTAAAGGATTTCCTGTTGACTTCCCTCATTCCTCAGCAGAGGATGCATGCTGTAACTGTTTGCAGACATATTTGCTAACATTGACCTTTACATTATGTTCTGAGAGTACAACAAGTATATTTAAAGTTAAAATGAGCAGAAAGTGAAAAGAATAAAAAGCATAATCAAGTAGGAGTCATGCATTATGAGTAAAGCAGTGGATCTCACCCTTTTCTCTTCAGAAGAAACTTGTGTAAAAAGAGCGCCATTATACACACAGCTGTAAAGAAAGAAAACATTAGAATATACTTTGTATTTCAACTGAAAAATGTTGGTAAATGTTCTCCCGAGGACAAAATATTTACATTACCTATAACGCATATCACACTGATTATAACAGGCATGTGTCCTGAAAAACAAATGCAAAGTTAAATGCAAAGCATACATAAAGTTCAAACATCTTGATTGTAACGAGGCTCAAAAACTCACCGACGTCCTGGTTAGTATTTACAGCCCCATCATGCTTATCTGCAAGTTTACAACAGTTTTATTAGTATGTAAACTATTTCAACTGGCATGAACAACAGCACTCACTCAGGCTGCATCAGATATAAACACACACAAAAATAGAATAGAATAGAATAGGGAGGGATGAAACCCTCTTTAATGGTCACACATGCAGAGCACACAGCACACACAGTGAAATTTGGCCTCTGCTTTTAACCCATCCTAGTACAAGGAGTCTAGTACTAGGAGCAGTGGGCAGCTATTGTACAGCGCCCGGGGAAATTGTACAGCGCCCGGGGAAAAAAAAGGTCTGTTGTGTTGCTGCCAGCTCATTCCTCTCAGTGTCTCCATGTTGGATTATTAAGGCAGAGAAAGACCAACACATTAATATAATAGCTGACACAGGGACTGAGGGAGGGATACATGTCTGAATATTAGATGACAGTTATCGTCAGTTAGTAAATTACATTTTGTATTACCCGCCTTGCAAACAATAATAATTAGAAGGCGAACTCAGAACCATGAATTAAATTGAGGAATAGCCTAATTGCTTTCTGCTGGAGATTTAACTGAGAAGATTAATACCACTATTGTTCGCTGTTGAATATGAGGCTATATCCAACAGATGGTTAGCTTAGTTTAGCATAAAGACGGGAAACATGGGTAAACAGCTAGCATTACAATTCCCTCAAACATCAGAAATGCACTTATTATTATCTCATTAGTTTAATATGTGCAAAATTTAAAAACACATTTTACAAGGGATTAACTGCTGGATTATGTATATTATGTCCGCTGTGAGCATGTCTTCGCTTGTTGCCAGGCAACTGCCCAATACCCAATAAATAGCCTGTTCCATTACCCCCCAATTAAATATCACATTGTTGTTGTGTTTACACTTTGGTTCTTCTGAGTCTTTATTTATTCCCTTAAATTTAACTTGTTAGTTCAAGTTTTTCAGGAAATGTCTAAATGAGTAACTTAAAGTGGACCTATCATGCTATATTTGAATAATATATTGTAGGGCCATACCTATATAAAACATGTCTGTGAAGTTTTTTTTTCAAAATACCAAACAGATCATGCATTTTAGCCATGCCTCATTTCGCTCTATTTGCTGTATTCCAGCCCTGTTTTTGCAAGGGCTGATTCTGTGGCAAATGAGCTGCAGCTGACCACGCCCCCTTGCAAAGGAGGGGGGTGAGGCACGAGCGTCATGTTACCATGCTGTTACCATGCTACGGCAACCTCTCATTCCCCTGATAGGTGGAGAGTTGCCCATGGGCGGAGCTCCTTGTTTCTGACGTCAGAGATATTTCAAATCTGTATCAGTCTGTATCAGATCCGTTGCAGCCCCGTTTTTAGAGATTTGGGTATGGAGGAAAAGAGAGAGGGTTGTGTTTTCTGACACTTGGTGAGTTCCCTGGAACACCGGGGACATATATTCATGTATAAAAGACGTACAAAAGTGCATTTTGCATGATAGGTCCCCTTTAATAGTCAGGGAGATCTTTTTGTGTATGAGAGCAGCACAGAAGTCATTTTATTTTGTATTATGCTGACAAAAATTCAACTGCTTTTAATTTATGACTCATCTAAACAATTTCAGTTTAAAAAATATTTGCAGCATTTCTTTGTTTAAATCCCACGGTACGGTGGCCGACAGGTGCAAACAAATTCCAACGGCCCAAAACACGTCCATCAGGAGAAACGCACTGCAGCTTCAAAAACTATATACAATATAACTATCACGGTCACTGGATATGTACCTAAATAGTTAGTTTTATTGGATTATCTTAACAATGTGATCGCAGGATTCCTGCGGATATTATAGGTAACCTAGCTAACCTAGTCATTCAAAATATACGAGCTACACTAACAGCTGGTTAACTTTATAATCACTTGTTAGTGTCCCTGAGCTGAGCTTTTTTTGTTGTTGCTGTGTTTCGTTTATGGCGCGCAATTAGTAAGCTTTGCACATGTTTCGTCAAGTTGATGAATGTTTTTCTAAATCCTGCGCATCTGTTGTCAAGTTGGTGAAGATGTTTCTTTATTTGCATGTTTTGTCACATTTGTGTCTTAACATTTGCATCATTTCTGAAGCTGCAGCCAGTTTCTCTTAATGGAAGTGTTTTCTGCCGTTGTAGCGCGTTTGCACCTGTGGGCCACCATACCACCGTGATGATAAACAAACTAAAAAGACGCGCAGTTTATAAGGCTACAAGGAGGGCTCCGGAAGCATCTGCTGCTGGGAGGCACAGTAAAAGCCCAAGCTACAACTTGACAGCTTTTTAAAAAATGGTTCAATACCTTGAAATGAAGACGACGTCATTGATGGTACACTGGTTGTAGCTCTACCTTCAGCTGTCAAATTGTCTCTGCCACCTCAAGGTTCAAGGTTCTTTATTGTCAATCTGACATAGCTACAGAGTAATTATGTAGTTGAAAATCTTATGTCACAGGCTTCTCCAACAATGCAATATAATAACATAATAACAATAAGAGCAAGAGCAATACAAAAAGAATAATAGTTATAAAATAAAATAAAGTTATGATGTGGAATAGTGCAGTACGAGTCTATATACAGTACAAGTTATTGGAATGATATATATATATATATATATTAGGTATTAGATACATACTACTGAGTAGCAGATGAATGTTTGAAGTTGTTTCAACAGTTCAATTTTTTTAACAGTCTCACTGCCCGTGGGAAGAAACTGTCTCCGAATCTTCTTGTCCTTGCCAGGATGCTGCGGTAACGTCTGCCAGACGGCAACAGAAAGAACAGTTTGTGGCTGGGGTGATGGGGATCTTTGATAATCCGTAGTGATTTCTTCCTGAGCCGCTGGGAGTAGAGGTCCTCCATGGATGGCAGCTCCGTCCTGGTGATGTGCTGTGCAGTTTTCACCAACCTCTGTAAAGCCTTACGATCGAGGTCGGTGCAGCTGCCGTACCAGGCCGTCATGCTGCCAGTCAGGATACTCTCTATCGTGCACCTGTAGAAGTTGCAGAGTATCCTGGAATCCATTTTGAACCTCCTCAACCTGCGGAGGAAGAAGAGCCGCTGTCGAGCTTTCTTGGTGATGGTGGTGGTGTGAAGAGACCATGTCAGGTCCTCAGTGATGTGGACCCCAAGGAACCTGAAGCTTTTGACTCTCTCCACCGTAGTCCCATTGATGGCGATGGGGGCGTGTCCCTCTCCCTGCTGCTTCCTGTAATCCACAATCAGCTCCTTTGTTTTGCTGACGTTGAGATGGAGGTTGTTATCCTGGCACCAAGATGTCAGGTTTTCGACCTCCTCTCTGTACGCCGTCTCGTCGTCGTCTGTGATCTGGCCGATGACGGTCGTGTCATCAGCAAACTTCACGATGGTGTTGGAGCTGTGTGTGGCCAGGGTAGAGGATGTGATGTTTCCCACCCGCACTGCCTGGGGTCTGCCCGTCAGGAAGTTCAGGATCCAGTCACAGAGGGCGCTGTTGAGCCCTCGGGCTCAACAGCGCCCTCTGTGACAACAGCGCCCTCTGTTCTGAGCTTGATGGCCAGCTTGGAGGGCACAATGGTATTGAATGCTGAACTGTAGTCAATGAACAGCATTCTCACATATGTGTTCCTGTTCTTCGGGTCCAGGTGTGAGAGGGCAGTGTGGAGGGTGAGGGCTATGGCGTCGTCTGTGGACCTGTTTGCTCTGTAGGCAAACCTTTGAACAGAGGGATCACAGCAATTCTTAGTTCTTCTAAAGCTTGGACAGAATAAATGTGATTTGTGAAGCTGAGAAGCAATTTCTGAGATGCATGCAGCATGCACATAATCCAATCATGCTGCCAAGTGCTGTGCCTAAAAGGTTTTTAACTTAATTACACGCCCATCGGTTTGTTGGGAGACATATTTCTTTACCTCCTACTGAAGGTGAGACAGCTGCTGTTGTGCTGGTTCTGACAGTTTTATCTCTAAGAGCTGTGGGTGTGGCAGAGGAATCTGTAGAAGTGGAAAATAATAAGTCAAAATGTCTTAACAAATGATAAAATATTGTGAAACTGGATTTCTTGTATGGAGGCGATATTATTTATATACCTTGTGCTGGAGGTTTAGGTGTTGGTGTTACCATTTCTGTTGTAGATATAGCTTTGGCCGTCACTCCTATGAATAGAAAACTGGTGAATTTATCTTGGGTTTTAATCAAATCAAATAAATCAGCAGTTTGGTGGAGGAGCATTTCAGTTGACATGCAGAATGTGAAAAATCTTCCCCTGATCCTCCTAAATCAAAAGGTTGCTCTTTAGTCAATACCTTGTTAAGTTGTTAAGGAGAGTATGAGTGTGACAGTTAGTATTAAAGCAACTGTGAGTGAGCACAGCCATGAATGGTGAATAGAGAGATGTTGTGAAGCTTGAGTACTGCTTCATCAAAGAGCTGGGATCAGAGTGTCTGGAGAGGAGTGATGATGTGTGAACTTGAAAGTGTTCAATACAGAGTGTCGTCAGTGACACCATGGCAACACCTACAGCATGTGCACTGTATTTAATTGAATACAGTATATTACAGATAAACACTCTGTTCATGTTCATTACAGATTGGAACGTTTTGACCACGCAATACAAGACAACATGTCAAAGTATGCCAGTGGTTTTCCTGAGGAATATTACATTGCAGGCAGAATTTAATTAAGGGGATGTACTACTCGTGAACTGGGTACATATTTCAACTCATAGATATGAAATATGAAACTTCACTTTATTATTTTTTACCCTAGTGTCTCCCCTTAAAAGGGCCATATTTTGCTTTTGGGGGTTCCACCTTTCCTGTAGTGTGTTATATAGGTTTAAGTACATGTAACTGTCTGCAAAGGCTTAAATCCCAAAGTTCCCTCTAGAGGGAGTTTCTCTCACACACACCCTGCCTTAAACGCCTCCATTGGACTCCTTTGTTTTCTATCCAACATAGTGACATCACTATGTAACACTTGCGCTTGTAATGGCTATAGTGCTCCAAATAGGAAACCTGAGATTAAATTACCGTAATAGGGCCCCTTTAAAATAATTATACTATTCTGTTGTACGAAAATGAATAAAACGTTGTCATTGTACAGATGTCCATTACACTCTTTCATGCAAGACTTTGAGTAGGAAAGCATCAATGTTTTAACAGCAGAAATGTCTAAATTCATTCATTACGCCATACAAAGACTGGAAATCTATCTACAAATATATTGTATGGTTTGAAAATGGGGGGACCTAATGTAAATAGATTTGTTTAAAGAATGGGTTAATACATGCAAAACCACCTGTGTGGTCCACATCCACATGAATGGATTGTCTTTACCTTCACAAGCCGGCGGTGGAGAATCGTATTCACCAGTTTCGCTGCACTTAGCGCTATTTTTCCCAATCAGGGTGTATCCATCTTCACACATGTACTGTATGATTTCTCCATACATTGGTTCATCTCGAGAATCCCATGAGCTTTTGCCATTGGTCAATTTAACAGGTATTTCACATGTTACAACTGAGGAACAAGACAAACAAATGTTTTTCACACATTCTTATTATAAAAATCAAGAGTAAATTCAAATAATGCATATTGTTGTGTATAAACTGTTGTATAAGCTGACAAACAATGAGAATTGAGAAAAAGAACAAAGAAGTCAACAGAGGAAGAAGAACTTCATAAAAAAACAACCCACTGCTGTCTTTTGTTTTTTGTTGTGGGAAGGTTCTGGTTGCAGCTTCATAAAATACAAAAACAGAGAGACTTACTTTCGCACTTGGCCTTTCCAACCCAACCTAAAGCATAGCACTGTTTGAAGCTAGATCCACTGACTTGGAAGCTGTTGAAAGATTAAGGAAAATAAAGCAGGGGCGGTTTATTTAAGGAGAATTTGATAATGTAGAGTTATCATTTTGTATTGCAACAGAAGGGCAATTTCAACTTTGATAGCAAATTCTTACAGAGTTCAGTCAAGAACTAAAAATGAACAAATATCTCAACGTACGCAAATGGAGAGCCAAGTTTCTAATCAGCAAAACCACAGCGTAGCACTTCTGGCAACAGCTTTATTTGTCTTTCAAGACTTTCTGGTTATCTTTAGAGACTGTTTCCATTAGCGAATCCACCTTGACTTCAGTCATCTAAGGCTAATTGCCAGCAGCACTTTCTGTACGGCAACTGTACAGCAAAAACACATACTTCGTGGGAAAATGATCATCTACTGATGGCATCCTTTGTGTTGTCACTGTGTTGCCGACACTTGTTTCTCTACCTTTAAATTAATGTATAACTCAGCTAGATAACAATTACACGGGAAAAATACCTTTCACATTAATACTCACCCTTTGTCACAAATGACTTTTATTACAGCACCAAGCAGGGTACCGGCGCTGGTATTAAAGCTCATATTTGGTAGAAAAGTAGGGAGACCACAGTCCTTCTCTGTAATATAAAACAAACATTAATACTGAACTTTAAGGTCAGGGTATTCACTTCAAAAGGACTAAATAAAGGTTTGATAAGAGTCTCTGTAATTGAATTAAAGAGGACAGGACTTACTCTTGCAGGTGAGATCTGGTTTAGTCCAATTATCATCAACGCAGGTTATAACCCCAGAGCCACTGTCTTTGACAAATCCATTCGGACATTCTAAAGTGACATCAACACCCTCTGGAAAAGTATTCATTAGAAGTACGAAGTGTAAATCGTAGGTTAGGACAACATATCCCCTTGTCTGAGGTTTGGGGCAGTCGGCTAGGGGGGAAAAAGAGACAAAAATTAAACATGAACAGCGACTTATTTTTGTTTTAAAATCTGGCATGATAATTAAGGTGCTCAAAAAAACTAGCATTAGTAGATAACGGGTGCTAGTCGGCCAAACCACTTCTCTGGAAGTCTCTGTCACATGGCCTGCTTCTCTTATCTCTCCAGACACCCTTGTCCAAGTGAAAGATGAAGACACCTCCCTTCTTAACAACCAATCCAGAAGAATGCATCTGCTTCTCTTCACATCTGATAATGAGGTTCCCACCCAAACCTGGACATCTGTCAAATGCTGCATAATTCACCTGCCATGTCATCCATTTCAGACTGAATTTGATGTAATAAGTATCAGTAACTTAAGTTTTTGCTCCACTAATACTTCTATTTTCTTCATATACTTCTCTATGATATAACAGATGTTACAAAAATAAGGGCTACCTTACTTTTTGGGAAATAAATACTTCTTTCCCATATTATTCACCTCTCACAAATCTTCATGAACAACAACATAGCTGTGACGTTTAAGTACTTGTTTCCTGCTGCAATAAATGTCATTTTTCACAAGAAAGAGCTCAAATGCTGCATATTCTTACGATATATTTGTTACAATATGCAAAACTCTCTTTAGAAAACATCTTCTTAGAAAAAATCTAACTGCAAGGAAAATTATAAACTGAGTCAATATATTGTATTCACATTTAAATTGAAGTGTTCCTCCTCTCACCATGTACACTCAACACCTCACTGTAAGTTGGTGACATCTAGTGGTGTGTTAGAGGGAAGGCACTGACTAATGAAAGTAGCAGTGGGATAATCATGGTGTAGCAAAACAACCTTTTTCTATGCAACCAGAATGTTGTACAAGGCTATCTTTAGCCATAGACATTAGCAATACTACTACGTACTGCTTGAAACATACTAAACATCTAGTTTGTTGTTTATTAAACAAAAAACAGGTGAAAAAGTGCGGGTTGTTCAGGATGAAAGCAAATATGAATGTGTGCCTATTCCCACCTCTAATTGATACTAAATCTATATCAACAAATGCTTACCCATTTTAGATAAAGGTTGCATAAAACACAAATACATCTCATATTTGTTCGACATTATGCAGCAGAAGGTCATTTTTTCACACATTAACACAATAGGGTTAGTGAAACGTAATGTTTAGATATTCTTCCTAGGGTGCACATCTGAAAAGACTTAGAATCAAATGTCTATGTTTTCTTTTTGGTTCTTTGCAGACAATTGACCACATCCTCTATGCAATAGTACGAATAGAAATCCAGTTCTGCACAGTTCCAGGCATTTTAAAGCAATTTAAGTCAATTAACAACACATGCAATTCAGACCATTCCGTCTACAGCCATTAAGGCTACTCTACTACGGCTGTATAGAGTTCTGAATGATTCAGTGGCTTTCGTTCACACCAGGGTCAAAGTCAAGGACTTGATGGGTTCTTGGCAGTTATTCACGGATCAAGTGTTTTTTCTATATTGACGAAAATGTTCAAACAAATTACTGCTGTAGATGCCTGAGGCGGAGATGTGCAATTGCAGCATGAATTAGATGGAATACACTGCAGAAGATATGTTAAACTTTAAGGTAAAAGGTAAACAATCTATCATACCTATCATAAATCTATCTTTGATGTTAAATATAGCTTCAAAGTAAATGAGTCAGTCTTAATTTAAATTAATCAAATTATGATCTAACCTTAGCAAGCTCATTATGTAGAGTCTTTGATTAACTACTTTTAAATGAAAGAGGCCCTTTAAGTTTTTTTTGGTTTTCTATAGGTTTGTGTGCATGTAAATGGTCTGCAAACATGGGGGAAAAGTAGTGTAGTAAAAAAGCATAAAGATAACCACTGGATAGAATGGAAAATAATAGTTTAGTAACAGTGGTTCACTTTTTTTAGGCCACTCGTGTGGAAATTGCAATTCCTTTACAAATCCCGAATCTAAATCTAAAACTTCCTGTATTGTCACCACTGACTTGAATTGTCCAGTAGAGGGCAGTATAAGCACACGCAGGAACATATTAGGCCATAGTTAACTGCAAGCTGCACTATTTTTTTCATCCAAACAGGAACAAACAGTCTTATTTCTTTTTAAAATATATACATTTAAATCTGAGCTGTCAATCAAGTTTAATTGTCTGCATAAATGTTTCATCACGACTAAACTCTGGTGCAGTTATCAGTGCATTAGGCACCTCCATCATATCCGCAGTGGACATTAAATCAGGTCATTATTTGACATTTAATAAAGCCTGAATCACCACCATGTAATCCCAGGGTGGGCTTGTGTTGTCTTTGCCCTCAATTACGTCTGCATGTCTTTAGGAGTGAGATTAGAGTCGGACGGACAGATGTGTAATCAGGTGAACCCGTCTGACTCCAGCAGCTCCACAGCCTGCCTCTTCCCTCTTTCATCACCCTGTCCTCGCCATTTCTCTCCCTCCTGCATCTCTGTGCCCCTTTCTGTCTGTGTCCTCCTTTTGCTCACCCTCCTTTAGTCACTGCCCTGGTTTACTCTAACTTCTAATGTCTGACATCCTGTTTCTTTCTGTCTTTTTGTGTTCTTTTTTTATCTTGTTTTGATGTGGCAACCAGTGTTGGGCAAGATACTTCCAAAATGTAATACAGTACATATGACTTATTACTGTCTTTTTTAAGTAATAAGTTACATTACAATACTACTGTCTCTGAAATGTACTATGCACTACTTTTATATTACTTTTGAGTTACTTTACCAACATAACCGCAAAAGAATGGCTAGGTATTTTAAATGCTAAAATGTAGTTTAGTGCATTATACATCCAGTGAAGGGCAATGTGGTATAGCATAACAACTGTAGGTCATTAAGGCTACTAACAACTGTTATTACACGGCTTAGTTGAATACTCGATTCTGATTGTACATTCTTAACATGTGACACGTTGTTAATACAGTAGGCTAGTACAGACCACTATCAAGGACTATAATGAAGGTTGCTAAGGAGGATCAAGAAAGAGAAAGGAAAAGAGGTTAAAAGACGGAGCGCTGGACGTCAGATAAATCACCAGAAGAAGGCAGAGAGGAAGTAAACAATAACAGGAACACGGAATGGGCTCTGTAGATTGTTTATATGGCCGTGTAATTAAGCGGGATAATGTGCAGCGAGGCGGTCATTATGGGGGAAAAGAACACCCGACAGGCTGATCAGGGAACCCGACGCGAAGCGGAGGGATCTTGAGAATTTTCTGCAAATTGTAATTATTGTGCAAATAAACACAAATGTATACATATAGGTGATGTAAAATATATGCATAAATGTTTGTATGCAGCATGAATGATTTTAATTTTGACATACTGGACCTCTATACTGTAGATTGTGTCAACACATAATAATTAAATGGAGGTTCAGTGTTATAGGGCTACAATAAACGACTTTATAATGCAGTGAATTGGCAAACAAGACAAGTTACAGCAGATACTCTATGTTCAGAAATGTGAAAAGATAGATGCAATAATTACCCAAAAGAAGAGGAAACAGGAGCCCCTTCTTCATCATGTTGGTGCATTGATGCTACTGTTTTAAAACATGTATAAAATAAGATCAGTGGGTGTGTGAGAAAGAGAGACGGATCCACTGCGTTTGGATGTGGATCAAAGTGTTTTTGACAAGAGAGAGGGGAAAAAAGGAAAAACAGCTGCTGGGCCTCATTTGTAAGCTCTGGTTAAAAAAACAAAGCAGGAAACAATTTTCTTTATCGACTGCACCGGTCTTCTGCTGCTGCTGCAGACTGCAGGCATTACAGTTCAAATCACAATTACATAATGCAAATAGGTCAAACAGCAATGATACCAAAACAAGATGTGACCCATCATTTCAAAAGAGCAGAGCACTAACATTGGAGGAAGGACTCAGATCCTTAAGTAACATACACATAGTACTACCATACTGTAAAAACTCTATTCACACACGGCATCTATTGCACGTCTGTCCGTCCTGGGAGAGGGATCCCTCCTCTGTTGCTCTCCCTGAGGTTTCTCCCATTTTCCCCTTTAAACTGTGGGTTTTCTCCGGAAGTGTTTCCTTGTACGATGTGAGGGTCTAAGGACAGAGGGTGTCGTATTGTCATACTGATATTCTGTACAAACTGTGAAGTCCACTGAGACAAATGTAACATTTGTGATATTGGGCTATATAAATAAACATTGATTGATTCATTCATTCATATTACTGAATATAATATTTAAATAAAAACATGTTATTGTCGTTGGCAAGAGGAAATGCAGCAAGTCTTTAGATTCGTGAAGCTAGGACCATTAATTATTTTTGCATAAAACATTTACAAATATTAAAATAATTGTCAGAGACATATTATAACATGTTTTGTGTAAACATATCTTAAAGGTCCCATGTCATGCTTTTCCGGTTATTACCCGTCCCCTTGTGTGTTACAGTATGTAGCTTTTTCTGCATGTAAACGGTCTGCAGAGTCACAAACCCTCAAAGTACACCCTGTAGCGAGTAAAACTCTAACACAGAAAAGACCTGTCTATGCTGCCCCAGAACGCCTCGTTGGAGATTTCTCTTTTTCCATTTTAATCTTCCTGGGTACAGTAACGTGACCATACCAAAATGGACCCATTGGTCCAAATGGACCAATCCGTGGAGCTCCTCACACACACACTCTCTCTCAGCGGCAAAACTGTGACGCGCTGGGGGGGTGCTAGTGCCTCGCAGCGGCCTTTAGCCATTCTTAAATCCAAAATGAATATTGACTTGAGAAGTGTGTGTGTGTGTGTGTGTGTGTGTGTGTGTGTGTGTGTGTGTGTGTGTGTGTGTGTGTGTGTGTGTGTGTGTGTGTGTGTGTGTGTGTGTGTGTGTGTGTGTGTGTGTTTCATCAGTGGACAACAACAGCTCTTTCATAGGCGTCAGTGTATCCGGGTCAGCTGTGCAGGAGATGCTCCGAGTCCTGCAGCTGTTGGAGGGAAGAAC